TTGCGATGTTGTCAAAGTGTTCAAGTTTGGAGGTGGTGAGATGCTGAAGTCACTGGGATATTATGAAATACCTCCTGTGATGGCTGGAAAAGCCATCAGTATTAGAACAGATGTTGTGGATTCTGATATACCATTACTACTATCAATACATGCTATGAAGGAGGCACGAATCAAGTTGGATCTTGGGAATGATACAGCAGAAATTCTTGGACAGAAAGTGAATCTGAACTGTACATCATCGGGTCACTACTGCATTCCAATTGACAAGAATGAGCAAATACCAATTGAAGAAGTTCATGCTGTGCTGCTTCACAAACTCGACAAAGACGAACGGTACAAGACTCTCTTGAAGTTACACAGACAGTTTGCTCATCCTCCAGAGAGAAAGCTTGTGGCCCTTCTTAAGGATGCTGGGGTCTGGAGAGAAGAGTTCCGGGACACTGTCTATGCAATTTATGAGCGGTGTCAGTTATGTAAGATTTACACAAGAACACCAGCCAGACCTGCTGTTGCACTACCAATGGCATCGCAATTCAACGAGACAGTTGCTATGGACTTAAAGAAGTGGAGAAATGGATGGATTTTGCATTTAGTGGACATGTGGTCTAGATTAACTGTGTCTGCCTTCATTACTCGGAAAACACCAAGTGAAGTGATTGACAAGATTATGACGCACTGGGTAGGAGCTGGATTCGGAGTGATGCAGAGTATCCTGACAGACAATGGAGGGGAGTTCAATGCCGAGGAAATAAGAGAGGTGGCTAGTATACTGAACATCCGAGTTCACACAACTGCTGCGGAAAGCCCATTTCAGAACGGACTATGTGAGAGACTCCACTCAGTGACTGATATGATGCTTGCTAGAATGGAGGAACAGTGCCCAGAAACACCTCTTGATATACTCCTGTGTTGGGCGAATATGGCTCGCAATGCTTTGCAAATGTGGCATGGTTTCAGTAGCTACCAGTTAGTGTTTGGGAAGAATCCAAACTTGCCAAACATCATGAGTGAAACGGTCCCAGCACTTGACGGTGTGACAAGAAGTGAGTCATTTGCTGAACATCTGAACGCTTTGCATGCAGCGAGGAAAGCATTTATCGCCTCAGAAGCAAATGAAAGGATCCGAAGAGCTCTGCGTTGCAAAATTAGAGCCTCGGAGGAAATATACCATCATGGTGATTTGGTGTATTACAAACGTGATGGCAGTGAAAAGTGGTTAGGTCCAGGCAATGTTGTGTTTCAAGATGGAAAAGTTGTGTTTGTTCGACACGGCGGGGTGTTTGTTAGAGTGTCACCAAATAGACTGATAAAATCAGGACTGGAATTTAAGTGTGATGGGAACACTGAAGAGAGAGAGAACCAGCTGCAGCGCAACAGTGTAAGAGGTCATGGATTTGAAGTGGACAGACTTGACATGCAGCTTTCAGAAATGATTGCAGGACACATGTCGAATGAAAACTCTCAAAATGATGAGACTAAGGTACAGGCAGCAGATAACATGACGGATGAAACAACAAACATGGATGAAGCCAAGGGAAGTAAAATCAGTTTGAAGAAGGATGACAAGATACAGTTCAAAGACACATCAGAAGATGATTGGGTGGTTGCTACAGTTGTGAGTAGAGGAGGCAAAGTGTCTGGGCGAAATAAGAATGTGTTCAACATATGTGCAGGTGATGGAGAAACTGTGACAAGTGTGAACCTTGACAAAGTGCATGACTGGGTGAAAGTAATAGTCCATGATGTTAACGTGGTGACTATTTCAAGATCAAGACATGATGATATTGATTGTGTGAAGGCGAAATGTGAAGAGCTTGGACGTTTACGAGAGTTTGATACATGTGAAGAAGTTCAAAAGTGTGGACAGCCTTGTATTTCCACTCGATGGGTTATATGTCAGAAGGGTGATAAAGTTAAAGCAAGGCTAGTGGCTAGGGGATTTGAGGAAGATGGTGTCTTTGATAGAGACTCGCCAACTGTCAGTAAGAGTGCATTACGAATGTTTTTAACTCTTGCAGTATGGCAAAACTGGGACATCAAGACCACAGACATTAAGTCTGCATTTCTTCAAGGGAAAAGCTTTTAGACAGAGATGTGTATATTATCCCCCAAAGGACGCTAGTGTAGCTGACGACAAACTGTGGAAGCTAAAGCACTGTCTGTATGGACTGAATGATGCTGCAAGACAGTTTTACCAGAGTGTGAGAGATCGCCTACTGCAGCTGGGATGTATTCAGTCAGTGTATGACCCAGCATTGTTTTACATGAAATATGGTGGATGTCTCATAGGAATGATTGCTTGTCATGTTGACGATTTCTTACACTGTGGACAGCCTCATTTTGACAACATCATAGCACAGTTAGTTCAGTATTTCAAAGCTGGGAAGAGGGAGAGTGGACAATTCAAATATGTTGGTTTTCAGATCACACAGAATCCTGGTGCTAGTGTGCTAGATCAGAATGAATATGTGCAAGATTTAGAGTTCGACAATGTGTCACCTTAAAGAAAATCACAAAAAGCTGAAAATCTAACTGTGAAAGAACATACAGTATTGAGACAGATGGTTGGCAGAATCAACTGGGTTGTGCAAGGTTGTCGTCCTGACATTGCTTTTGAAATGATTGATCTCAGCACCAAGTTCAAGAAGGGTACAGTAGAAGACTTGTTGAGAGCAATCAAGGTGATCAGAAAGCTGAAAGAAAATGAAGCAAAGCTTGTGTTCCGGAATATCGGCAATGCTTCCAGCTGGAAGATAGTTGTGTTCACTGATGCGGCACATGCTAATGTGTGTGATGGAGTAGGTAGTGTAGGTGCCTACATTGTGTTTCTTCTTGGTGAAAACAATTGCTGTTGTCCCTTAGCTTGGCACGCTGGGAAGATCAAGAGAGTAGTGAGATCCACGATTGCAGCTGAAACTCTCAGTCTTCAGGAGGGTTTAGAGGAAGCAGTGTATATGCGAAAAATGCTGGAAGAGGTGTCTGGCATTAGTGATGTGATACCTGTGTGTGCATATGTAGATAACAAGAGTGTAGTGGAGGCCATCCACTCCACTAAGCTTGTCGATGACAGGCGTCTGAGGCTGGATATAGCTGCTGTTCAACAGTCTCTTCAGACCAGAGAAGTCAGCGTTGTGAAGTGGGTTCCTGGACATGAACAGTTAGCTAACAGCATGACGAAGAGAGGAGCGTCTGGTCTCCAACTCTTGAATGTGCTACAAACTGGTGTGCTTCAACTCTGATGTATATGTTCACTGTGGGATTGACTTTTAACTCATTTTAAAAATCAAAAAAAAAGAGCTTCAAGTTTTAAACGTAAATTCAATTTGTGATAGTTTTAATATTTTCACAACACACAAAAAAAAGGACATTATTATGAATGTTGATGTCGTCTGCTATGAACTCTGCTCGACGCATGTTACAGCGTAGCTATGGGGCTTATGGGTAATTCCCGGGTATAAGCGAGTGAGCATGTATACAAGGTGACATGACAGATAAAGAGCGTATGTGAATGAATACAGTGTTGGTTATCATGGAGATGAATTAACACAATAGGTTTGGTGGCGGGTCAGTCATGGTTTGGGCCGGTATCATGGCTACAGGAAGAACCCAGCTTCACATTATTGATGAAAATTTGACTGCTCAGCGGTATCGAGATGAAATCTTGACCACCCAGTGCTATTCCCTTTTTGCAAGCTATGCATTGATTTTATGGTCCTGACCCTCTTCTACAGGACGATAATGCCAGACCTCACAGAGCCAGGATAGTCACTGATTATCTTCAGCAACAGGGTGTGGAACGGATGGACTGGCCGGCATGTTGACCAGACCTCAATCCAATCAAGCATGCATGGGATGAACTTGGCAGACGTGTTTACAGACGTCACCCGCTCCACAAGATCTACAGGGTCTTCGGAGAGCTCTTGTGCAAGAATGGGGGACTATTCCACAGGCATTCTTCATGAACTTGATGAGAAGCATGAGGTCTCGATGTAACTCTGTCCGGGACCAAAGAGGTGGCTACACAAAGTACTGATTGGTCCTGGACTCTATTGATGTGACTTTCCGTTTGGGGGTATCCCTTTGTTTGATGTCCGTGTCCTGGTCCTTTTCTCACAGCTTAGCACTGAACACTCTCCTCAGTTAATCTCTTTTTTCTATAATCTTGTCACGGCATACTTTATTTTGCATTATATTACTTTATTGCTACATGACCCTTCAATAATGGCACTGAGTATTTTAGCCCTGTTAGTTGTATCCATTATGACTTACACATATATTGCCTCGTCAGAGCATTGTGATGTCATAAGCATTGTGACGTCACGGACAGAGTTAACAGTTACTGTTCTTTAGTTCTACCTGATGATGGGGCCAGAACAAGCCCTGAAACTTTGTACAAAACAATAAAAAGAAGATGAAACCCAGAAAATTCTCTATGTTCATGAAACAGTGAAACTAAAATTTGTGATGGAACTCTTACATCCGAGTGCAATGAGGACAGTTATATATGATTGCATACAGATTTACTAACATTCAATGTACAGTAAACAGAGAACATAGTTACATACCTACATCCATCCATGCTATCAGAACCAGAAACCCTATGCGAACACCTATCTGTGTAGACATTTTGAGTTTGTGGCTGTAAGAGGCTATGAAAGGCCCTCCCATAATTGGTTTGCTTTTGACATCTAGTGCATATATGTATGCACTCCATGGTCTTTAATTATTATAATCTGTTAATCACACTGCATACCACATTAAAGTGTATTTTCAAAACAATCTTAATAAGCAGCCATGTGGATCTATCAAGATGAAAATAATAATGAGATCATATGAACTGGTGTCTGAAGCAATATGGTCCAAACAGTTATAATATATCCACAATACCATCCACATACTGAAATGGATTCACAAAAACCTACTTACATAAACGAATGACACGCCATTTCTTTAGTTTACCAAATCTGCACCAGATAGTCAAGATAAGGAATGCACTAACACCTGTAAGATACACATGTATATATAGGTCAGTCTTTCTAAACCGTTAACAACCTTAGTGTAAGGTCTTCACAATACAATATTCAAACAAACCTTACAGAAGGTGGGCAGGAGACAGCATGTGGACTTATTCCTTGATTCCTGTTCTGCTGTCCTTGAGGTATTCCTTGCAAGGTAAAACTATTCCCCTCGAATGACCTCTGAGACAACAGATAGCTGTTACCGTTATTGCCAAGGTTAGGTTAACTAAGCAAATTGTGTGTGTGCGTGTGTGTGTGTGTGTGTGTGTGCGTGCGAGCGAGCGCGCGCGTCCGTGGGTGGGTGACAAGCGTCTGCTTGTCATCATTAATTTGTTAAATGCTTTATCCAGACACTGAAATGATAGGATGAGCTTCAGTTTAAGATTACGTTCAACATAAATGCACTTCTAAAGTGGAGTGCATGCACTTGAGTTTGTGACTTTTGTACGAGTTTGGACAAGGTGTTAATGTGCTTCCACTAGGCGAGTAGACCAGCTTGTCGTGTCGGTGTGAAACGTTCACCATTTTGACACATTCCCTTCCATTTTGGCGTCTACAATTTATATGCGTCTCCTTCAGGTCATTTGAAGTAATTGAATGGGACATACATGCCATTCATTCACAATTGATATACATTCTGGCGTACACATGAATTGTCTATTCAAAGTCTATTTATGAAGCACCTTTTTAACGCGTTGCATTTCACAATTTCGATGACACTATATTTGGCTTCATGATGTTTGAAATACTGTTCAGTCGCTTCTTGCAAAAGCATGCCTGAAGACATATATTATGAAGGTGAGGTGAAATTGGGTTTAACGTCGCGCTGGAGAATATTTCGCTAATATGACGACGTGCATGCGTGTGTATGTGTATGTGCGGCTGCTTGTACTAGCCCAGACTTAAGCTGGTTTTATAGTGCTAGCCCACTGAGATACCATGCCGCAGTGAAGCATGAATACCCCACTCAGACACATTATACTGACTCCGAGCCGACGAGTCCTTGTTGTACCCATTAATGCCGAGCACCTGGCAGGGACCAATAAGTACCATATTTTAACGTCTTTTGGTATGACGCGGTTGAGGATCGAACCTGCGACCTTCCGCTCTCCGGGTGGACGCTCTAACCACTACACCACGGAGGCGGTTCACATATATTACGAGGTGGGGCATTTGTATCCACTAAAAAGAACACAAATGTTCCACAAAAAGGAAAGTTGTTTAAAACTTTTGAGATATAATGATGATACATAATTGCATAATGTTTTTCGTCAATATACAACTCTCCTTTAAAGGTTATGTCGGGTGCTACCAGGACCAGCAACAACCACGTGTCCTTCTTGTTAACATAATGACGTCCACCCACTCTGCATCACTATGTTGTTCCTTAATAGGGGCGGTGGGGTAGCCTAGTGGTTAAAGCGTTAGCTCGTCACGCCGAAGACCCGGGTTCGATTCCCCACATAGGCACAATGTGTGAAGCCCATTTCTTGTGACTCTGTCAGTCAGTCAGTCTTCCTTAATACACAACTCTCCTTTAAAGGTTATGTCGGGTGCTACCAGGACCAGCAACAACCACGTGTCCTTCTTGTTAACATACTGACGTCCACCCGGATGACTATACAGACGTGTCTGGACCACTGTAATACTTATGCATATGCTGGAATTGAGGCGAGTGATGATGGCAGTGCATGTACAAACACTATTTAACGTATAACACATTCATAAATCACCCAATCACTGCTTCCGAACTTTCATTCATTTTATGAAGGCGTAAGAATACTCTCCGAAACGTCGCGTTCCTTATATTACAGAAGTGTATCCACATTCTTTTTATGGGTATCGCTTCTAGATGCCATATAAAGGCCTTGCATCCACACAGCCATATAGGCCTTACATTCGGACAGATTTTGAGCGAGAAGTCAGAATTTAGAACAAGCCATATTTTTGTTGAATAAATGGAGGGCATATGTTATATTTTATCACACTGGGCACAGAAAAATATTAACGAAAGACACAAAATACTGAAGTTACTCGAATATTGCCCGACATCAGAGGTAAACTGAGTATTTGGCAGTTGGAGTCTTCCCTCTCGTTTTATAGATAGTTTTCTGTCACACACATGTATCATGCAGAGATGTAGATTCGGTAGATATGTAAATATACAGATGTAGACACGGTAGATATGTAAATATACAGATATAAACACTGTAGATATGTAAATAAGCAGATATAGACACATTAGATTTGGACATTGTAAATATACAGCTGTAGACACGGTAGATATATGCATTGTAAATATACAGATATAGACACAGTAGATTTGGACATTGTAAATATACAGATGTAGACATGGTAGATATATACATTGTAAATATACAGATGTAGACACGGTAGATATGTACATTGTAAATATACAGATATAGACATGGTAGATATGGACATTGTAAATATACAGATGTAGACACGGTAGATATGTACATTGTAAATATACAGATATAGACACAGTAGATTTGGACATTGTAAATATACAGATGTTGACATGGTAGATATGTACATTGTAAATATACAGATGTAGACACGGTAGATATGTACATTGTAAATATACAGATGTAGTCACGGAAGATATATGCATTGTCAATATACAAATGTAGACACGGTAGATATGTACATTGTAAATATACAGATGTAGTCACGGAAGATATATGCATAGTAAATATACAGATGTAGACACGGTAGATATGTATAATTGTAAATATACAGATGTAGTCACGGAAGATATATGCATTGTCAATATACAGATGTAGACACGGTAGATATGTAAATATACAGATGTAGACACGGTAGATATTTAAATATACAGATGTAAACACTGTAGATGTGTGCATTGTAAAGATACATATGTAGAAACAGTAGATATTTAAATATACAGACGTGAACAAGGTAGATATGTGCATTGTAAAGATACATATGTAGAAACGGTAGATATGTAAATATACAGATGCAGACACGGTAGATATGTACATTGTAAATATATAGATATAGACACAGTAGATTTGGACATTGTAAATATACAGATGTTGACATGGTAGATATGTACATTGTAAATATACAGATGTAGACACGGTAGATATGTACATTGTAAATATACAGATGTAGTCACGGAAGATATATGCATTGTCAATATACAAATGTAGACACGGTAGATATGTACATTGTAAATATACAGATGTAGTCACGGAAGATATATGCATAGTAAATATACTGATGTAGACACGGTAGATATGTACATTGTAAATATACAGATATAGACACAGTAGATTTGGACATTGTAAATATACAGATGTTGACATGGTAGATATGTACATTGTAAATATACAGATGTAGTCACGGAAGATATATGCAATGTCAATATACAAATGTAGACACGGTAGATATGTACATTGTAAATATACAGATGTAGTCACGGAAGATATATGCATAGTAAATATACAGATGTAGACACGGTAGATATGTATAATTGTAAATATACAGATGTAGTCACGGAAGATATATGCATTGTCAATATACAGATGTAGACACGGTAGATATGTAAATATACAGATGTAGACACGGTAGATATTTAAATATACAGATGTAAACACTGTAGATGTGTGCATTGTAAAGATACATATGTAGAAACAGTAGATATTTAAATATACAGACGTGAACAAGGTAGATATGTGCATTGTAAAGATACATATGTAGAAACGGTAGATATGTAAATATACAGATACAGACACGGTAGATATGTAAATATACATATGTAGACATGGTAGATATGTAAATATACAGAAGTAAACACGATAGATATGTAAATAAACAGATGTAGACACGGTAGATATGTAAATTGTAATTATACAGATGTAGGCACGGTAGATATGTAAACATACAGATGTAGACACGATAGACATGTAAATATAAAGATGTAGACACGGTAGATATGTAAGTATTCATATTTAGACGCGGTAGATTTGTAAATATACAGATGTAGACACGGTAAATAAGTAAATATACAGATGTAGATACGATAGATATGTAAATAAACAGATGTAGATACGGTAGATATGTAAATTGTAAACATACAGATGTAGACACGATAGATATGTAAATATACATACGTAGGCACGGTAGATATGTAAACATACAGATGTAGACACGGTAGATATGTAAATATACATATGTAGACATGGTAGATATGTGCATTGTAAATATACAGATGTAGACACGGTAGATGTTTAAATATACAGATGTAGACACTGTAGATATGAAAATATACAGATGTAGACACGGTAGATAGGTAAATATACAGATGTAGACACGGTAGATATGTAAATATACAGATGTAGACATGGTAGATATGTGCATTGTAAATATACAGATGTAGACACGGTAGATATGTACATTGTAATTATACAGATGTAGACACGGTAGATATGTAAATATACAGATGTAGACACGGTAGATATGTAAATATACAGATGTAGACACGGTAGATTTGTAAATATACATATGTAGACATGGTAGATAGGTGCATTGTAAATATACAGATGTAGACACGGTAGATATGCTCATTGTAAATATACAGATGTAGACACGGTAGATATGTAAATATACAGATTAGACATGGTAGATATGTTAATATACAGATGTAGACACGGTAGATATGTGCATTGTAAATATACAGATTAGACATGGTAGATATGTTAATATACAGATGTAGACAGACTTGATTCATAAAAGTTTTGTTGATATCCAATTTTGTTATTATTCAGATATAACTTGTTATAACTATACTGGACAAAAAAGTTTGGGATATTGGTGTTTATTATTGAAATTGTATTAGTGTGTTAATGAAAAGAAATATCATTATTCACAATTTCAAAATTTACATATATCCCTAACTATGTATATATATATTAAGTATATTATTAAAATGTACAACATTACGCATAAATGTGAACCTTCACATGTATTATGGAGTGGCATTAATATAAGCCAATTAGGCTTGTTTGCCATCCTTTTCTTTCTTCTTGAATGGACTAAAATATGTTTAAACGAGATATACACGATATATATGTAAATATACAGATGTAGACACGGTAGATATGTAAATATACAGATGTAGACACAGTAGATATGTAAATATGCAGATGTAGACACGGTAGATATGTACATTGTAATTATACAGATGTAGACACGGTAGATATGTAAATATACAGATGTAGACACGATAGATATGTAAATATACAGATGTAGATACGATAGATATGTAAATATACAGATGTAGACACGGTAGATATATAAATATGCAGATGTAGACACAGTAGATATGTAAATATACAGATGTAGATACGATAGATATGTAAATATACAGCTAGCGCTGGTCTATAATTGCGTGTACACATCAAACAGAATGTAGCATATATATGTATATCACCATTTCTTCCTCTAGGGCAGCAGCCAGTGTTGGTGTGGATCTGCACTGACTCGTGGCACTAAGGTAGCAGAGAAAGAATGTGATAAGCTCTGCGGTGGTGACCACGCCCAGATGTGTGGTGGTGATTGGCGCTTGTCCGTATATTCCACAGGTATTACTTCCAGGTTAATACTAAGTAAAATGTAACATATATATTGACCATGTTGCATCAACAACCAGCCTCTGTTTAATGCATGAACATAAATATTCTGACAGGGAAACATGAAATTAATTTATTTCTTGTACTTACCACTGTCACCATTAATATTGCATTCGTCATTTACAGTTACTGATTTTTCCAACGGAGTGACAGCTGGCCTTATATCAACCGCCAGTGGTCTTCACGTCATTTCCGGTTTGGCTGCAAGCAGGAAACATCCGGGTTACCTCTACGCGATCAATGGCAATTTGGGGACAAATAAAATTTACATAATCAATGAAGATACTGCCCAAACAGTTGGTACTGCTTCTTTGATTTATTCCGACAGTAGTATCACAGTGTCTGTTTGACGAATCAACCATTTATGACATGTTCACATGAGGTACTGAATAATAATTAAATCCGTTTGATGAAAATGTGAGTGCTGTGTTACATAACCAAAATGACCAAATTTCAACCAATGAGATGAGCATTTACGGAATTTGGTTGTTTGATAATGGCACAATCTTTATAGGATTTCTTTTAAGAAGTGGTACAAGAGAGAAGACTTATCTTGATTTATTCTTCTTTGCCTGCTATCAACGTCTATAAGCAATAAATAGCCAATCAATTATTATGAAATACCTTTGCAACGTATTTCAGTTCACCATTTCACTGGTGCCCCCCGCCTTGATATTGCTGGAATATTGCTAAAAGCGGCGTAAAACCATACTCACTCACTCACTGTTTCAGTTCATCACATTAACCTGTTACGTCAAAAATGTTGATACCAATGACAAGGCATTGAATTAGCTGATTCAGTCATGAAATCTAGGCTTTAATCTAGGTGTGCTCTTTGTCATCCAGGTGCGTTAACTGTTCAGAACAGTCATGAGTTTGACTGGGAGGACATTGCTGTCGGGGCTTGTCCACGTGGCTCTGGGACGTGTATCTTCGTGGTCGACACAGGATCACGACAGCATGCTGAGAGCACACTGTATGCTGTCCAGGAACCTGCAGACACGAACTCACAGGATGTCTCAGTGACTGGTACAATTAACTACAGGTAAACGTATACCTGTACAGGAACCCGCAGACACGAACTCACAGGATGTCTCAGTGACTGGTACAATTAACTACAGGTAAACGTATACCTGTACAGGAACCCGCAGACACGAACTCGCAGACACGAACTCACAGGATGTCTCAGTGTACAGGAACCCGCAGACACGAACTCACAGGATGTCACAGTGACTGGTACAATTAACTACAGGTAAACGTATACCTGTACAGGAACCCGCAGACACGAACTCACAGGATGTCTCAGTGACTGGTACAATTAACTACAGGTAAGTGTATACCTGTCCAGTCTACCAGGCCCTGCATATATTTTACCTTGAATGTTTTTGTTGCATCAATTTCCGAAAGTTTTATATGGAGTACATGTTCAAATACCTCTTTTTACACCTCTAATATTCGTCTAGCGTTAGCATTTAACAAAAGTGTTTTGAAGCTCAAAGCAAAGCAGTTTATAAACATGGAAACTATACTCGTAAATACAAGTTTAGTAATCAAAGAACCTTCAATATCAGCCACACCTGTTACATCTTCCGGGTCTAACATCAGTTTTCGTGAAAATTGTTAACCCGACGTTACTCTGGAAATCGGCCGAGGTATTCTAAACTTAATTCATTTGTGTCACACTTTACATTTTATATTATATCAATAATAGACGCGTGGATCTGTGGGCAGCTGTAACTGGCAAATGGATTACATATGATTAATGTCAGTAGGAGACCTATGCCCAACTAACATCGACTGCACAATGAATATCATCTGTGTTACGAGCTTCTTTAAGCTTTATATACTTACCTTGTAAACCTTATTTGTTGTGAATGAACACAATAGTTACAGCGTGACCTAGTGATGCTATGGTTATGTAAAACGAATAAACCAATTCCTTGATACATAAGGATTTACTATCTCACCACTAGTCTCTTCACCCTTTCAGTAAAGTACTGCAATATTGCCGATTCGTTTTATTCCCAACTTTCCTATTTGTTTCAGGAATAATGGAATGAAATCTGAGTCATTGATGGTAGATTCTTCTGGAGATGTGTTTGTGTTCTTAGAAAACGAAGGGCACCCTGCCTCTGTGGCAAAACTTCCTGCACAAGGCTGGAATACTGGAAACACCGTCGATGTCCTTTCAACACAGACCCTGCCCTTCACGTCTCCCAATGCAGGTCCAGTTGCAGCAGACATCTCCCCCAGTGGCACAGACATGCTGATAAAGACTCTCCATCATATCTACTACTGGCACATGTCTGATAAGTCGGTCACTAATGCCCTTGAACACCCTGGTGTTGGTGTGCCGTCTGTGTATGAATATCACGGGGAGTCTGTAGCCTGGAAATGGGATGTTTCTGGGTATTACACAGTTGCTCAAGACTCCCAACAGGCGCTTCATTTCTATAAACGAAAGCATTCAAGCTACACAACCCCTAAACCTACAACACCTTTGTCAACAAAAATGACCATTCCTCAAACATCTACTCATGCAAGTACCCAAGTTCCAGTTTCTAATTATTACAACGAGTTTCTAGAAATCGGACCCATCGATTCCTCACAAGGTCTGCTCATGACGTCAGGCCTGGCTGCTAGTCGGAAACATCACGGGTACCTGTACGCCATCGATAGCCACTCAGCCAGTATATATATTGTGGACGAATGGACAGCGTCAGTGGTTGCTACACTTCACGTCCAGGACGAGTCTGTAAGAGACTGGGAGGACATTGCAGTAGGACCTTGCCCCGGATTGGGGACATGTATTTACATTGCAGATACCGGCGATACAGATCATGCTGTGAGGAATGTCGTGCATATGCTCAAGGAACCCACCAGTATAACCACCCAGAACGTTAACGTTGAATCAAGTCAGCATTTCATGTAAGATGAGAATCTTCAGTATACCACAACATTTGTTATGATACATTCATGTTTGGAAAACTCTTGATTTGATATTGTTCGTAATTACACTTCAATCCTAACATTAACACCAAATTCGCTTTTAATACTAACACTCAAGACGTCAATGTTAAATTACGGCCATATATATTCTTATGTTTATAAACTACATCCATATCACAGGAGCTTCCGTTACAAGATGACAAGTTTCAAGCAATAATGTATATTGGCTTTATTGCATGGCCCTTTTCACCAGATGGAATATGTTTCTGGGGATAGCATTAGACTATGTATTATTTAGCACTGACGATATACGATAGATGTTGTGTGGAATTAAGCCAGTTTGGGGTTGTTTTTACTTGACAGTTGATACGTTTGTTCTCTTCAGCTGGAGCGAAACTTCATCAAAGGCGTTGGCAGTGGCCAAAAACGGCGATGTCTATATTATATCCGAGTCAGTAGGTACAGGCAGCAAACTAGCCAAGCTGTACAGCAGTGGATGGAGTCGAAACCAGACTGTGACCCTATCATCTCTGTTTACTTTGCCGCTACATACAAACAGCCCTGGGCCTGTGGCTGCAGACATATCACCCAACGGTCAGGATTTATTAGTCAAGACGGTGAATCACATCTTCCATTGGCATATGCCTGACGGTGATGTCAGGAAGGCTGTCCAACACCCGGGTGAAGAGGTTGCATACCATCCTGACAATCATGGAGAAACTGTTGCTTGGAACACTGAAGGAGACGGGTATTTTACTTTCGGTCAAGGACACGATGCCATGTTGTATCTCTTCCGTCACAGGGACGACTCTGTATGTAACTGGTGTCTCTGATGTCTCGCAGTGTAGATTATGTCAGAAGTAATAAAATGCTTGATCCATTATTTTTCTCACGTGTAAGAACTAGATTGTTCTGAATAGAACCAACCAGGGCAACAACAAGCACAACCTTTCAGGTAATTTGGTAGGACAGCTGGGAATGGAACCAGCGACGTTCCTATTCAAACCATTTGTTTTCTATTCACTAGTGATCAAGTGGCCTATAGCTAGTGAAATAAAATAAGTGTTTGTGTTTTGATTGAATGATATTTTTTAGGGTGAATTATATACACCTGGAACTTAATTAAGCACCCCCTGATATATTTCATGATAGTAGAGCAACTGTTAACCATCGTTAAACATGAATGATATCTCTGTATTACAACACATCTCTAGTAGTCTAAAAAGGCGTTTCAGTTCCTTTGCACTCGTCACAACGCATCCCTTGTGCACGTGAAGCATACATCCCACACTTTTCTCAAAATTCAGTTTCTCTGATATGCAATTTTTTTGGTATAAAAGCAGACAAATTTGTAACTGTCTCCATTAATGAATACTGAAATGGCGAGGAGATGACTTTCTGAAGCACTAAGGTGGCAAATTGTAGGCATACATGCAACAGGCATGTCCTTCACAGCTATTTGACGACAACTTGGCTACAGTCACTCGGTCATCAGCCGACTTGTCCGAAACATCAGATGACAGGAGATGTGAGAGATCGTCCAAGGCCTGGACAACCCAGGAAGACAACGGCCCGTGATGATCGCAGACTGGCACGTCTGGTAAGGCGAGAACCCTTTGCCACAAGTTCGGGTTTGAAGCGCCTGTGGTTACCCTACAGACAATTATCCACTAGAACCGTCAGAAATCGCCTTAGGGCACTTGGTATGAGGTTCAGAAGAGTCATCAAACGTCCTGCTCTGTCTGATCTCCTTAAGAGACGACGTCTGGAGTGGTGTATGGCCTGTCGGCAGTGGAACCTGAGGACATGGAGGAGGGTCCACTGGCCAGATGAGAGCAGATTCCCTTCACGTTACAGATGGTCGAATGAGAGTGTGGGGGCATAAAAACACTGCTTACGTGCCCAGGAATATCCACCCTACTGTTCCTTATGGTGGAGGATCGGTTATGATCTGGGGTTGTCTTTCACACGACTGTAAACTTCAAATGGTGACTGTCCGAGGACATCTTAATGGTCAGCAGTACATCCGGGATATTCTCCATCCAGTTGTCGTGCCTCACTTTGACAACCATCCGTTGGCTACTCACCCGATATTCATGGACGACAACGCCAGGCCGCATCGTTCACGTGCTGTGACCGCACATCTCCAGAATGAGGCTATCATGACATTACCTTGGCCAGCAATGAGCCCCGATTTGAATTCTTTGGAGCACATCTGGGACTTTCTTGGACGCCGTGTGAGGTTGAGAGAACCCCCTCTCCAGAATCTTGCACAGCTGGAAGCTGCTTTGCATGAAGAATGGCGGCAATTGCCACTTGATCGTATCAGAAGGTTTACCAGTAGCATGAGGAGAAGGATTCAAGCTGTCATCCAAGCACGTGGGGATATTAATTCGATACCGATGCCAGACGCATCAGATGTTAGCATGTGACATTCCTTGTGCATCATTTCTTGTAATAGTCAGCGATTGACAATGCTACGACCATACTTGTTCAGTGACTATTTTCATCAAAAATCAATAGTGACCAAATCACATTGGTTACGCTATTAAAACAACACGAATTGGAATCATTGTCTTGTTTTTCATTTGCCAATAGATCGTATGTTTCACAATAGCTAAGGTTCCACTATCTTTGGAATAGTGAGAAAGTTACAGCAAGTTTTGTTTCTCATCATCCAGAAAATAGGGGGGGGTGCTTAATTAAGTTCCAGGTGTATATATCAAACATGATATGAGCTGTTTGCATATTATATAATTATAGTTTCCAGCTGAATCAAAGGCCAATAGCATATCTGTGGTGGCACGTGGTCCTGTGAATGGCGCTCAGGTCACACATAAGTTGAAGTTAAGCAACGTTGGACTCGGACAGCCCTTGGATGGGTGACCGCGTTGGCAGCCTGAGAGTTTCTAGTACTTCAGTCCTGCCCCACAACGAATCACATGTGGTCTCACCTTAGGTAAGTGAGTTTGTTCACAATTGCCTCTGTTCACCCAGCAGGAAATGGGTACCCGGTGAAATAAGTCGTGAGACTATTAACCTTCTAGCGCCTAACAGGCAGCTTGGGTTATCCGGGGTCATAATGATCAGATTGTGCGCCTTGAGCAGGATATCTAACCTGGAAAAGGCGCGTTATAAATATTATCATTATTATTATTATCTGTGATGAACTAGGTTTGGATGCATTCATGCATCTACTACGGGCCTAGACGGACGGACGGCCCGGATGCCATTTATGTGTTTAGTAGCCTTGTTAGATTTAAGTATGCAATAGAAATTCATACAAAAATAATCCTACAATCAGAGATAATGATAACAGATGAACTTTCAAGACGGACGGTTCTACACTACTATTTGCTCGGATACCATTTCTGTGTTTAGTAGCGTTGTTGGATTCATACATAAAGAATGATACAGTCAAGGCTAGCTGTAACATATGAAATTTGCAAGAAAACTATAGGCCAAGACGGACGGTTCTACACTACTATTTGCTCGGATACCATCTCTGTGTTTAGTAGCGTTGTTGGATTCATACATAAAGAATGATACAGTCAAGGCTAGCTGTAACATATGAACTTTGCAAGAAAACTATATGCCAAGACGGACGGTTCTACACTACTATTTGCTCGGATACCATCTCTGTGTTTAGTAGCGTTGTTGGATTCATACATAAAGAATGATACAGTCAAGGCTAGCTGTAACATATGAAATTTTGCAAGAAAACTATATGCCAAGACGGACGGTTCTACACTACTATTTGCTCGGATACCATCTCTGTGTTTAGTAGCGTTGTTGGATTCATACATAAAGAATGATACAGTCAAGGCTAGCTGTAACATATGAACTTTGCAAGAAAACTATATGCCAAGACGGACGGTTCTACACTACTATTTGCTCGGATACCATCTCTGTGTTTAGTAGCGTTGTTGGATTCATACATAAAGAATGATACAGTCAAGGCTAGCTGTAACATATGAACTTTGCAAAGAAAACTATATGCCAAGACGGACGGTTCTACACTACTATTTGCTCGGATACCATCTCTGTGTTTAGTAGCGTTGTTGGATTCATACATAAAGAATGATACAGTCAAGGCTAGCTGTAACATATGAACTTTGCAAGAAAACTATATGCCAAGACGGACGGTTCTACACTACTATTTGCTCGGATACCATCTCTGTGTTTAGTAGCGTTGTTGGATTCATACATAAAGAATGATACAGTCAAGACTAGCTGTAACATATGAAATTTGCAAGAAATCTATAGGCCAAGACGGACGGTTCTACACTACTATTTGCTCGGATACCATCTCTGTGTTTAGTAGCGTTGTTGATTCATACATAAAGAATGATACAGTCAAGGCTAGCTGTAACATATGAACCTTTGCAAGAAATCTATATGCCAAGACGGACGGTTCTACACTACTATTTGCTCGGATACCATCTCTGTGTTTAGTAGCGTTGTTGGATTCATACATAAAGAATGATACAGTCAAGGCTAGCTGTAACATATGAACTTTGCAAGAAAACTATATGCCAAGACGGACGGTTCTACACTACTATTTGCCCGGATACCATCTCTGTGTTTAGTAGCGTTGTTGGATTCATACATAAAGAATGATACAGTCAAGGCTAGCTGTAACATATGAACTTTGCAAGAAAACTATATGCCAAGACGGACGGTTCTACACTACTATTTGCTCGGATACCATCTCTGTGTTTAGTAGCGTTGTTGGATTTATACATAAAGAATGATACAGTCAAGGCTAGCTGTAACATATTAAATTTGCAAGAAATACTTCAAGCGTTCTTACAATGGCAATCACTTAAACTTTATACACATGTAGAATCCTGACACACAACGCCACAGAACCTGTTCACAAGGTTAGTTTAATTTAATATCATTGCTTACCTGCAATAGCTTTCACTGGGAATCGTTAATAGTTGATTTGGACCAGCATTGAGAGACATATGAAAATCTAGTTGGGACACGTGTTCCACTGATGTAGTTTCGTATTTTTAAATCCTCATCTAGAATAACAAGTCTAAATCAACATTTGCGTTTAATTATGCTTTTTAGGACTACACTTTAGTTCTAGTATGACGAATGCGGTGTAAATATAAACACAGACAAACGCCAGATGTTAGCTGCAAACCTACGATGAAACGGCCGCCATTGCCTCGTGCATCCACAATATGAAAACGTCCACAAAGCTATATGTTCGGATAGGGTTTCTGTGTTTGATAGCAGTGTTGGATGTAAGTATATAATGATGTGTTGTCTTATTCAGCACGTAAGTATATAACGCTATGATGAATTAGTTCTTTTTCTCTTATCTCTATTTTACCTTTTAGTCTGAACTGTCTTAACTGTAGTCTTAAACGTTATACATTTTGTACATACAATCGCAGATTACTGTCAATATGCCACACATAATTAGCCATTCCATTATTTCTATCTAGTTGTAAAGTTTCCATACCTGATATTGTGTTTCTCCACAGGGCATGGTTGACAGTTGCATGGGACCGGCACTGCGAGATCTACAATGTATCTTCAATGTGACACTACAGAAGGTCAGTCTGTTCAAGCCTGCCATTACAGCAGGTAGGGTCATCGGGGCACTACTGTTCTTGAAAATTCCAGGTCGTGTCGACATCTACGGAGTAGCAGCAGCTACTATGACAATGGCAAGCTGTCTCTTGGCCGTCGTTCCTGTACTACCCTCATTTTGGATGGCACTTGGATTATCGGGCGCAGTTGGATTGGCTAATGGAGCGTCAGTGCACGGTAAGGCTAATGTTAACCCACACACGTACAACTATGTTCTGCAGGCAATATGTATCTCGTGAAAACAGCGGTTTCATTATGTAACTGTGCAAATTGATAAGACATGCAATACACAGTTTACAATATTATGCCTTCCAAAGCATATATTCCGCCATATAGCAGGAATATTGCTGAGTGCTAAAACTAAACTCACTCCAAAGCATATAGAATGGTAGTTTGTTGAAGTGTTCAGGTCAGCAATGAAGTCGTGATTGTTATAAGTGTTAATTTAATACGTTCTTACGCGAATAACCCCATCTGCAACGTTGAGTGACGTTGTACGTGATGACATTCCCTTGCATATTTAACTTTTTGAGCGAGGTAATCAGTACTTCAGGCGGAAGTTAATATGAATAACATTTTCATATATTCAACACTCATAAACAATATTGATTATATTTTACCAATCATATTAAATATTGTCATGTTTGCACTGGGGGCAAAGAATTATTCGAAGAATTCTGTGGTGTTTAAATTATTGTGATGTAAAATGGCAGTGTTGAAACAGGACGAATGTTTGTATTTGTGCAGCCCTGAACGTTGGAGTCAGTTCAAGTCTGTTATTTGATTTATTCCTTCACTGCCCTTATTGAAGACTTATGGTTATTCCTAATGTATCCACATAAACCCAATCTTTGTGGAAATATTTCATTAAAATCCCAACTTTGCTACAAAAAAACATTATAATGTCGAACCGAAGACAAATATTCTTTCAGTTATAATCTTTATATTTTACAGCAAGGATTATCCTCTCCGGGGAACTGAGTAAGCAGCATGCTGCAACCATTCACATCATCAACTTAGCTACGTCAGCAGGATCCGTTACAGGGCCGTTGATCATTTCCCCATTTCTATCTGACAGTGTCGCACAAAGATACACTAGGCAAGCCTTTCATCATGGCAATATGACATGTGTAGCACAGAACAGAACTGATCCAGCCTTTCATCATGGCAATATGACATGTATAGCACAGAACAGAACTGATCCAGCCTTCCATCATGGCAATATGACATGTATAGCACAGAACAGAACTGATCCAGCCTTCCATCATGGCAATATGACATTTATAGCACAGAACAGAACTGATCCAGCCTTCCATCATGGCAATAGGACATTTATAGCACAGAACAGAATTGATCCAGCCTTCCATCATGGCAATAGGACATTTATAGCACAGAACAGAACTGATCCAGCCTTCCATCATGGCAATATGACATTTATAGCACAGAACAGAACTGATCCAGCCTTCCATCATGGCAATATGACATTTATAGCACAGAACTACACTACACAATTAAGAGACCGCATATGTTACAGTTTCAATTCTGACCTCATGTATGGGTTTTTGATTATGGCACTTCTTGGAGTGGTTTTGTTTTCAGCTTATTTACTCACACAACGGGTGTTTCAAGATGACACATACGTGAATCAACCAAAGGAGATGCCTGGGATTGCAATCAGTTTAACTGATGGCATATTTTTAATCATTTTCACAATGTATACTGTAATCTGTGGGCCTATGATTTTTGTATATGGTCATTTCTTGCCAACATTTGGAATACATTGCAAATTACATGCAGATACGAGACAATTGACAAATATGTCCTTATCGTTATACGTCTGTGTTATGTTCGGCCGTTTGTTTGGAACCCTCAGTAGCCTTGCTGTTAAACAAACTGTTCAGATTAATGCCTGCGCCGCTGTAGGTATCATGGTATCTGCCATGCTTGTATACATATCGGAACTGGACACGATATGGTTGTGGATTGGGACAAGTATTTTGGCTGGTGTCACTTCACCCGTGATCTCGGCACTTAACACCTGGGTCCTTGAGGTCAATAGGCACAGGCCTATACTGTATGGTATATCATCCATTGGGGATATGGCAGGATATTCTGTAATGTCTCTTTTGACTGGGCAACTAATGGCCAACATTTCTGTACAAATGTTACACTATGTAATGGCAACTGTACTACTGCTGCAAATGGTGTTGATAATGTTTCTATACCTGACTGTCCATGTAGGTAAACGGGTAAATTCAGGAAATGAAGATTATATGTATATTGAGTGAGTGGTTACGTATTATAGTTTTGAGTGGTATACTCATGTTAGGTTTATTTGATATACACTCCAATAAATGTATCACTCCATATAATATGTCAGAGCGCTCAATCCTGCTTGGGAACCATGCAAGAAGCAGAAACTTTGCAAGACCTTTTACTAATGTTAATTATCATTTAATCATAGACTTTTTAAAAGAAATAGAGTTGTGACGTGTACACAGATCACTGTTTTCTGATTAGTAGTGTAAATCAACAACTGATTTTGTTAGTGGCTGTCACCTCGAAGGGGGTTAAAGTTCTGTCAAACTGTTGTCCTCCTGAGAGGGTCCGTAAGTCCTAAAACAATCATAGTAAATTTAAACGTACTACTATTTTCAACTGCAGTATATATAGGTTGTTGTTTTAAATTTATTGCTAGATTGTCAAAAATTGCTACCATCTGATGGTGTAAGCCCAGCTTGGGTCCATGCACTTTAAGTCCCCATGGCCCCTAGTATGGTGATCTACCTTCAGTTATTGGCAATGTAAAGCCTGTTTTACATTGTATTGTCATTTATAGTTAAAATAGATTTGATTACTAGTTTTAAATATATATCTGTGATAATCTAGTTGCTTTACTGTCCTTCGTTGACAGGTTTTTAAAATTTACTTTCAGTGACTATAAATCTATGGTTTGATTTAATCACGATATGGCTGAAATATTGCCCATGTTACTTGAAATCTTAACTCACTCACTTCTATGACACCGGATGTATACGCCTGAACAACCAGTTCCGGTTTAATTTGTATTTACACGTGTGCAGAAAATATATAGCAGATGTCAGCCTTGTCAGTTGAGTATCTACCTGTACCAAGTGTCTGGTGATGATACACGTAGCAGCTATATAATTCCCATCCATACATATGGAATTAAAATATTAAATTAGATATTTTAAATATGTTATTAGTCTTCACATGTATTTGTAACATTTGTATATATATTTTCTATGTCTGTTATGCAATAAATTTACAGTCATTGCTTGTTGACTACGTGAACTGATTGCAGTATTGATGTGTTGACTACGTGAACTGATTGCAGTAATGATGTGTTGACTACGTGAACTGATTGCAGTAATGATGTGTTGACTACATGAACTGATTGCAGTAATGATGTGTTGACTACGTGAACTGATTGCAGTAATGATGTGTTGACTACGTGAACTGATTGCAGTAATGATGTGTTGACTACGTGAACTGATTGCAGTAAGGTTGTATCCCATAACCCCTACATACCCACTACCCCTACAGCCCAGTACCCCTACAGCCCAGTACCCCTACAGCCCAGTACCCCTACAATTAGTTAAAACGACACACGGCATTTACCTGTCTGTCATAATGAACTTACCCAAAGAGAGATTAGTGCATAGAGTATACAGATGAGATCAAGGGAGGGATTAAACTGTTCTTTAGTGTTTTGTGTCAAGGAAATTTGGGATTAGCTAAAAGTTGTTTTAGTTTCATGATGAAAGATAAACCTCTAATGAGTAGAACAATTTTACAAATTGAATAATGTGTAGGTTGTTAAATGTGAAATTCCACACAGGCATCCGAACATATACAGATTTGTAGAAGTCATTAGGAGAATTGAACATGCTGAGAGGGTGAAGATTTCATAAATAGACTTTGGTGCTGCGACAAGAAGCAGAAAGCGAGTCTTCAGGGAGATTGACAATCGCCTGTGTAGACTCAAGGAGCAGCTTGAGCTTGGACAGAAATCACCTCTTCAGTTCTTGGACGCCGTCGGCTATCTGCTTAATAGATCTGCTGGGATAGATTGAAACACTGAATGTTCATAGACTGAAACACTTGACACAAATGACTATGTTAACATTGAATGTTAACAATTAATTGTTAATGTCCATCAAAGAATCATGATGACGAATTATTGTTAATTCTTATTAAAATCTTGATGACAAATGATGATCACTTCTCATTAAAATCATTCTCTCAACCTTTTAGTTGTGTGTTGTTATGTCTCTTAAGTGGATAAGTCCATAGTGGGGAATAGGTAACAGGCAGTGGATTAACAGTGCAACAGACCGTAAACTATGTTGTTATAAGCTGTAGGGGTAGTGGCATGTAGGGGTAATGGGGGGTTACCTGCAGTAATGATGTGTTGACTACGTGAACTGATTGCAGTAATTATAAGCCAAATGTGTACCATTTACATATACCATACACGCGGAGAACTCACCAATTCTACACGCGGAGAACTCACCAATTCTACACCCGTAGAACTCACCAATTCAACATGCGGGGAGCTCACCAATTCTACATGCGTAGAACTCACCAATTCAACATGCGGATAACTCACCAATTCTACACGCGGAGAGCTCACCAGTCCATATTCAACACTTTCCACACTTTCAAGCTTTCACGGAACCTTTCCAATTTTGAAAGTGCTCTTTGAGTATGACTTGAGTCTTTTAGTACCATTCCATCAATATCACGGCGGAAGACATCCGACACGCGCTTCACACATTGTAACCACATGGAGAATCGCACCCGGCCCTTCGGCAGGAAGAGCTTTAACCACTAGGCTACCCCACTGCTTAAGTGCTCTCTGAGAGGGAACGCATTCTGAAGAAGAAATACTATTTAGAAAGGGATCTGGGCATATCTTTAATCATGAGATTTCATTTCCATCTCAGTGTCGACTTGTGAAAAGTCGGGTTGTTTCAGTGGCACCAGTTGCAAACTGGATCAGCTCGATGGCGGAAGAGGTACAGGATGTCATTTCCTGTTTGCCCAAACGTGAAGTACCCGTTCCCATCTGTGTTCCAGGCAACAGCTTCCCCTCGACCTTCAGAATGATATGCCACCTGCTCCCCTGGATGCTGAAGAGCCTTCTCCACATCCCCGTCAGGCATGTGCCAATGGTACACGTGGTTCACCGTCTTGATCAACAGGTCTTGCCCATTAGGTGAGATGTCGGCAGCAACGGGACCCAGTGTGCTTGTGTGAAGAGGCAAGGTCAGTAAATGAGATAAGGTCACTGGATGGCTCTGGCCCCATCCATTGCTGGGCAGTTTTGCCAGTTTGCTTCCTGATCCTGTGGCTTCAGACAAAATGTAGACATCACCATTTTGTCCACCATCAGTGCCTCTGACGATCCTTTACTCCAACTGAAACGAACAATGAGCACACTTAATGTTAGTCAATAAAGTATGTGTGTTCTGACGAATGTAGTCATTAAATATCCAAGGAAGACACTTTGATCTGTCTATACAAAAAATCGTAATACTCACGTGAAATGCAAAGATTTTTCTAGGTGAACATTCTGTGTCTTTATCTGTTTGGGTTCCTTGATCTTGTACACGGTGTTCTTGGCTGGTGACCGCCAGATCCAGTGTCTGCGATGTAAATACATGTCTCATACCCAGGACAAGGGCCTACTGCAATGTCCTCCCAATCAGAAGCTGATGCGGACATCACATGCAGTGTAGCAACCACGGACGCTGTCCATTCGTCCACAATGTATATACTGGTTGAGTGGCTGTTGTCATTGATGGCGTACAGGTAATTCTGGATGCTTGCGGCTTGCTGCCAGACCTGACGTCATCTGCAGACCCTTTGAGGAATCGACGTGACCAATCTCCACGAACTCATTGTAGTAACCAGTATCTGGAAACGGTGTAACCGAGTGAGGAGATGTTGGCTTAGTTGGTGTTGTGTGATGAGTTGGCTTTGGTGTGGTGTGACGTGGTTGAGTAGATGGAATGGGTGCCTTGCGCTGGTAAAAGTGAAGCGCCTGGTGGGAGTCTTGAGCAACTGTGTAATACCCAGAACCATTCCATTTCCAGGCTACAGACTCTCCACGATTTTCATACACATCAGGCACGCCAATGCCAGAATGTCGAAGCGGGCATTAGTGACCGACTTATCAGGCATGCTCCAGTAATAGATGTGATTCAGCGTCTTTATCAGCATGTCTGTGCCACTTGGGGAGATGTCTGCTGCAAGTGGACCAGAATTGGACGACGTGAATGGGAGAGTCAGCGTTGAGTAAATGGTATTGACCTTCCCATTGTTCCAGTTCTGTGAGGGGAGTTTTGCCATGTGAGCAGGTTTTCCACTGTTTTCTGAGAACATGTACACATCTCCTGATGAATCTACCACCATTGCCTCAGACGAACCCTCACTCCACCTACAACACAACCACAAGTTCCGTCAGTCAAACCTCATCCTCTTCCACCCACGAACTACAGTATCCTACGTTCATAACGAACTGACGGTTATAACGAACAGACGGTTATAACGATCTGACGGTTATAACGAACTGACAGTTATAACGAACTGACGGTCATAATGACCAGTTTTATCCTGGTTACTTGGTGCATAGCTTAGTAGAAATGCGTGTAACGAACTTCGGTTATAATGAACTAAACCCAGTGACATGGATGAAAACAATACGTGGTTATTCGACCTGATGAGCAGATTGAAGCAGGTTTTGTTATGGTTATTTTAATTTGGTTTAGAGAGAGCCAACGTTTATGATTAAAAATCAACAGCAACGCTTTGTGCATTATTTCTATTAAATAATCTAAGGAAAACAGAGGTGATATCAATAGAAGTGAAAACTCTTTTCGACATCCAGAATAAATCTCTGCCATCCAATGTGTATTTCTATAACCCAGTAATTTCATGATGGCTTATCAATGACCTTGAGGTTTAATTCTATGAAAATTGTACATGTACCTTCATGGACAGGTGTGTGATTTCTTTTGCCCAACAGTAATTTTCAACCAAATTCTAAGTAGTTACCAATTAGCAATCCAATTGTACTGTTTAACAGTTAACATGTAACTGTTCTGTATGGTCGGGATATACAAAAGAAAAGAGTTTATCCCATTCTAGTTGATATACAGCAAGCACGTACTTGTAACCATAGGTAGCTGCGACTTGAACATTCTGGGTGTGTGTTGCTGAAGGCTCCTTGATAGCGTACACCGTGGCCTGGTTGTGATGCTGGGATCCCGTATATCTGCCACGAAGATACATGTGCCAGAACCACGTGGACAGTCACCGACAGCAATGTCCTCCCAGTCGAACTCATGACTGTGCTGGACAGTAAAAGCACACCTGGATTACAAGGAATGAAGGCATTTATCAGAATGGAAACTTACCCTTTCTTTGTCTATTGTTATTACTCACGCCGACCGTCAGCACAATTAGCTTTTGTGATTTGTTTTGCTTTTCTTTCTTTTTCTCTTATAGCCTTTGTTCTACTATAACATGGCTTCTTCTTCATTCTATATGAGTCGAGGTATTCTTCTTTTTCATATATAGTCTGTATTCTTCTGCACAGCTCGTCTCTCTTCTGCAGCTTGTGTTCTTCTCCTATAACCTGTCTTCTTCCAGAGTCAGTCCTTTTCTCTCATAGCCTGTGTCTTCTTCCACTGTCGTCTTCTTCTTCGTTGCAAGCACAGTCCGTCTTTGCCCTATGGCCTGCCTCTTCATCTCTTTGTTGTCTATTTTCATTTGCAGCCACTATAGCCTGTCTTCTGTCAACTGCTACTTTAGCTGTGTCATCATGAACCATGTAGATCTTGTCTGCCCCGGCATTGTCATTGATGACATAGAGGTAGCCAGGATGTGCCCTGCTTGCAGTATACTGACAACTCCTTTGTACGTACCTGCTACTTTAGCATTGTGAGACATAGAGGTGCCTTTATAGGATGTGCCATGTAGATCTTGTCTGCCCCAGCATTGTCATTGATGACATAGAGGTAGCCAGGATGTGCCCCTGCTTGCAGTATACTGACAACTCCTTGTACGTACGTACCTGCTACTTTAGCTGCTGTACATCGTCATTGATGACATAGAGACCATGTAGCTGTGTATCATCATGAACAACTCCTTGTATGTAGATCTTGTCTGCCCCGTACCTGCATTGTCATAGATCTTGTCTGCCCTGGCATTGGTTTCACACATTGATGACATAGGAGGTAGCCAGGATGTGCCCTGCTTGTGCATAAATAATGACAACTCCTTGATGACATAGAGGTAGCCAGGATGTGCCCTGCTTGCAGCATACTGACAACTCCTTGTACGTACCTGCTACTTTAGCTGTGTCATCATGAACCATGTAGATCTTGTCTGCCCCGGCATTGTTGTCATTGATGACATAGAGGTACCTGCTACCAGGATGTGTAGGATCCCTGCTTGCAGTATACAGGTGACAACTCCCTTGTACGTACCTGCTACTTTAGCTGTGTCATCATGAACCATGTAGATCTTGTCTGCCCCGGCATTGTCATTGATGACATAGAGGTAGCCAGGATGTGCCCCTGCTTGCAGTATACTGACAACTCCTTGTACGTACCTGCTACTTTAGCTGTGTCATCATGAACCATGTAGATCTTGTCTGCCCCGGCATTGTCATTGATGACATAGAGGTAGCCAGGATATTGCCCTGCTTGCAGTATACTGACAACTCCTTGTACGTACCTGCTACTTTAGCTGTGTCATCATGAACCATGTAGATCTTGTCTGCCCCAGCATTGTCATTGATGACATAGAGGTAGCCAGGATGTGCCCTGCTTGCAGTATACTGACAACTCCTTGTACGTACCTGCTACTTTAGCTGTGTCATCATGAACCATGTAGATCTTGTCTGCCCCGGCATTGTCATTAATAGCATAGAGGTAGCCAGGGTGTGCCCTGCTTGCAGCCAGACCCGACACCATGTGAAGACCACTGGCAGAAGATATGTAGCCTTTGGTTACAACGTTGGAGAAATCTGAAGCTGAAATGACAGTTGAACTGTGAACTTTTTTCTAATATTAATGCTGATCCTACTAAAGCGATAGAGAAATCTGAAGCTGAAATGAAGGTTTTTTTTACTAATAATGCTGATCAGGTAAACAATGCCATGGTATTCGGCGTGACGAGAGAGTGCTTTAACCACAAGAACACAAGGCTACCCTACCGCCCCTCATAAAATACGTAGCTAACCTTTGATTGCACTTTTATAATAAGAAACCAACGTATCGTCTGTGCATATTATTTAAAATACCAATGCTTATTAAACAAATTTCAATAAAATCTATTGAATGGTGCTTTTAAAGTGTTGGCATATATACGCTATGGTTTCATCTTCTTAAAATAAATGGTTTTTTTTCTAAATATACTCATGCCAATAATGGTTGTCACCCCCTCCCCACCCCAACCCCACACCCCTCTCCAATAAAAGATTGAAGGGGGTGACAACCATTATTGGCATGAGTATACTTTCATGGGGCATTAAATCAAACAGATAAATTGTACTTGTTGAATACACCGATGTATACCAGGCGTCATCTTTTAAAAATACATGTTTTTCTGAATACTTTTATTATAGTGCATATATTTCTTCATACATTTTTATATTTTTCACAAATTATTCATAACACAGGAAATCTGTATAGGTGCAAGTCGCTGTGCATAGTCTGTCTTGTTTATAGCCCTGCATGGCAAGCGCAGTAGTAGGCAATTAGCAAACGCATCCACGCCAACCTTAAACTAATTAATCAAAGATGAAGCTAGCGAGCTGTGTCGGCTTCGGCCTTTCTTCTCGGGTACATCCCTTGGTCAAGCACAGATAAGTAGTCCCATCCCAGCAGGAGCATGTCTACCACCAACCAAGTCGTAATCGAAAATCAACTTTTGTTGAACAAGATCGAGATTACCATCATGCCATCCTCTTTGTCCTGTTGTAAATGCCTTGGTCAAGCGCTGACAGATATTTTGTTAAGCAGCTGGCGCAAGCTGACCATGGCTACACCATAAAGAAAATCAAACCGTGTTAGGTAATCATCTTCTTACCACCTACCTCGTGTAGTAAACCTTGTCAGAATAGGGTAGATAACGCATATGGAAACTTCAACTTTATAGAAACTTGATAATGACAAACGAGTAGAGCTGTGGGGTATAAAATCCTGGGTTCTTCCATCTCAGGCACACTTGCTTGAATAAACCCTGAATCTCACAGCTCTGTCTCCTTTCTTGTTTCAAGGTAAGAAACATTTAAACTTTATTCTTGTTTAACTTGTTATTTCTTTGTAATTATCGTCTAGAAAATGTAAGAGTTAGGTTAGAAACATTCCTACAACATTGAAGCACTTTTTCATTGCAAATGCTAGTTCTAGATAACCAGGGATATTTATTTATGCACATTGCGTCGTGGGCTCCTCAAGTTTATGTTTTTCATGTACAAACGAATATTTCTTTTCTCTGTTTCGACACACATGTGTGTATTCCCAGTTTTTGTCTTACTTTATTCATTTGCGTGTTAGATCTGTATATGCAGGTTAGATTCTCGTTCAGTAGCTTAGATTCTAGTAGCTTAGTCACAAAAACAGTTCCGAGAGTTTATACAATCATTTCCAGCAAAGACGAAGTTTTATGTATTTTACTATAGTCCGCCGATCAAATGATATTCGTGTAGATTTACCTCAAATACGCGCTCACATGATAGGTATAACAGCCAACATTTGTGTTTTGATATTTCACCAACACTATAAGAATTTGAATAATGATGTATTAAACGTTCCGTTCCGCGTGCAGTTGTATACCGTACAAAACAGTTTATACGCGAATCACATTACCGTTATCAGTAGAAAATGGTATTGTCTATTCTTCATATTACCAGAAAATATACATTCAAATCCGTGTAGTTTGCAATTACAGTCTTCGTTCCGTATTTATTTAGCTCCGTAATTTAAGAAATACGCGTAGCCAATGACAACAGCGCCGTCCTAGTACATTATTACATATTCATTTAACTAAGTTACTGTCTTGTTTTGTAAAGTCACAAAAATGTAGCACTACAGCATTACATATACTCTAGGTCATGGCTTGACTCCGTTTATGTCGAAATTGCACGTTGCCAATAGCAACACCACCGTCGAAATACACTTACCGTAGTCACCCAAATAATTCATGATAAAACATAAGTAGTAGTACTCTAACTAAAACTAGGCCTTCTGTCCCCGTATTTACAACACATATTTATATCTCTCTAATAACACTTACCGTATCTACTGAAATTATTGTATTGAGAAAATAAATGTTAACATTACAGTTAGAATGCGTACAGTCAATACCGGAGTTAAATGGTATACGTCAAATCTGAGCACTTCGCGCCGTCTACCGTATTTGCTCAAGGCATGTATGTTGATAACGGAAATTTACTTACACTAGTCATAAATCGTTACCGTAGTTAATACATTAAGCGCGACATACCGTAATAATCATAAATTCCTAACGCAATAGGCACTACATACCGTAATTGTCATAAATGGGTTCCGTAGTTAACGCATTAGGCGCGACATAACGTAATAGTCATAAATCTGCACAACAGTTAATGAACTAGGCACTACATGCTGTAATTAAACTGTTGGGCGCTCAACTCAGTACTTGCTCCTTGCAATTGTTGTTTATGATTAATTTATCCGTCAGGTTATGTTATTTATCAGTACCGTAGTTACTCAAGGAAATGTTTTATTATTTGTATTATGTTTCTGTAAGCAGTTACCGTACATACCCTGTTGTACCACACATTGCTTATATTACCTGACTTAGATATAAACTGTATTAGGATATCATAGTAGTTACTCAAGGAAATGTTTTATTATTTGTATTATGTTTCTGTAAGCAGTTACCGTACATACCCTGTTGTACCACACATTGCTTATATTACCTGACTTAGATATAAACTGTATTAGGATATCATAGTAGTTACTCAAGCAAATGTTGTATTATTGGTGTTATGTTTCTGTAAGCAGTTACCGTACATACCCTGTTGTACCACACATTGCTTGTATTACCTGACTTAGATATAAACTGTATTAGGATATCATAGTAGTTACTCAAGGAAATGTTGTATTATTTGTATTATGTTTCTGTAAGCAGTTACCGTACATACCCTGTTGTACCAATACTACTGCTTATATTACCTTGACTTAGATATAAACTGTATTAGGATATCATAGTAGTTACTCAAGGAAATGTTTTATTATTTGTATTATGTTTCTGTAAGCAGTTACCGTACATACCCTGTTGTACCACACATTGCTTGTATTACCTGACTTAGATATAAACTGTATTAGGATATCATAGTAGTTACTCAAGGAAATGTTGTATTATTTGTATTATGTTTCTGTAAGCAGTTACCGTACATACCCTGTTGTACCACACATGGCTTGTATTACCTGACTTAGATATAAACTGTATTAGGATATCATAGTAGTTACTCAAGGAAATGTTGTATTATTTGTATTATGTTTCTGTAAGCAGTTACCGTACATACCCTGTTGTACCACACATTGCTTGTATTACCTGACTTAGATATAAACTGTATTAGGATATCATTGATTACTATTTCTATTATTGTGTGTCATTATTATATATGAATTGATGTATTTTGAATGTCATGCAAATACACTTGCTTGAATAAACCCTGGATCTCACAGCTCTGTCTCCTTTCTTGTTTCAAGGTTTCAAGGCTCGCTCCCTATAGCTAATTCCCCAAATCGAGGCCTGACAGCACCTTTTAGCACACATAGCGCTAAAGGTCGTCCTAACGGACACAAAAAGAAAAGCTGTCTTACGTTCATGAGGCATTAAATCCAACAGATAAATTGTACCTGTTGTATACACCGATATGTACCAGGCATCGCCGCATATCTGACCATGGTCGCCCGAACATTGCATCCTGCAGTGGTCCTCCGCCACCTTCGTGTCATCGTCCACTGATGCCCCGCACCAACACTCGTCACCATTCTAGTAGAAGTACACAGCGTCAGTGTGAAACCTCAGGGCTAGATTTCAAGTGGTCTTAAGGGCAATATATATTCATAGATACACAATGCTTAGTAATCAGTTGTAACACTTGTTATATTTGGCCCACACCAACACTCGTCCCCATTCTAGGAGAAGCACACAGCGTCAGTGTGAAACCTCAGGGCTAGATTTCAAGTGGTCTTAAGGGCAATATATATTCAAGGATACACAATGCTTAGTAGTGAGTACACAGCGTCGATGAAGATGATTACAAAGTGTTTGTCAACCTCAGAACTAGATTTCAAGCGGTCTTAACGGCAAAACAGCTCTCAAAGTCTAATGAATGGACCACTGAAGATTAGTAATACTCAGGTATTCATGGATACACAATGCCTTTTGCAAAGTGGTCCGATGGAACATATGTTATATTTGGGATTATCCTTTCTGAGTAATGTTCAGATTCTACTTCGAATCCCTGGTGGGACCAAATGTACCGAAGCTCCACTCCAATACTCGTTGCCATTCTTGTAGAAGATATGTCCATCCATACATTGGTTTAGAACCAAACACATCGATAGCTGTATTACATCTTCAAAGACAAAAACAACCGAAAAACTCCGAGATGTTTTGTATTCACTCTTTGTCTTTAACCCGTGAAGATCCGGGTTAGAATATTGATCTTCAGTAACCTATGCTTGTCGTAAGCGGCGACTAACGGGATGGGGTGGTCAGACTCTCTGACTTGGTTGACACATGTCATCGGTTCCCAATTGCGCAGATCGATGCTCATGCTGTTGATCACTGGATTGTCTGGTCCAGACTCGATTCTTTACAGACCGCCTCCATATAGCTGGAATAATGCTGAGTGCGGCGTAAAACTAAACTCACTTACTCACTTTGTCTTTAAATGGTTACCGTGTAATCTTTCTGGTGTTTTCACAAATGCCACACATATGTTTATCATTTATTTTGATACTATTTTTTTAATAATCATGAAATATATCTTCCATCATGATGGTGCACATTACTTTACTCACCTCAACGCCAGCATATCGATTTCCAGAGCATTCCTTAATACACATCTCAACGTTCATATCAGTGGAAGACGGTTTCTCGTGAGGAAAAACACGGTGATTCTCCAGATCTTTGTAGCATCCCACATAGGCTGTGGAAGGAAAGCGTGGTGGATGTTGCCAGTACATTGTTTCAAATATAAATAACAGACATGTAAACCAACATTTTATTTCATTTATTTTATTTTATTTTATTTTATTTTATTTTATTTTATTTTATTTTATTTTATTTTATTTTATTTTGTTTTATTTTATTTATTTTATTTTATTTTCCTGGTAAAATGCGTAGGAGTTCGTTTCATTAATAACCGTAGTTTACTCTATCACAGAAATGAAATATAGAACTGAGCATGTAGTTATGACAACAGAGTAGTATATATGTAGAGGCAGAAACCTGTTTCTGTTATTAATACATGAAGTTGTTTTAACACTATGAAGTATCTTTGAGACGCACCTTGATAAACTCGTACATACATACATAGCTGTGTAAAAGTGTAAAAGCTCGCTGTGCAGTATTGCATCGATCTTTGCTGTGTCAGATCGTGGGTTCGAATCCTGGATAGCCTTCCCACGTTGGCCCAACGTAGTTACAACGCCGGGTAGCATCGCGGAAATTTCATTCAAGGGACGCTACTCTAAAATTGTAGCTTCTCGTAGAGGGCGCTTTCGTTTGTGCACTTCTGTGTGAGCAGACGACGCAACGCCATCTCGAGCTTGGCCGCCGTAGTACTGTTTTCCTCGAATATATAGCGGTAGGTTCATATTTGATGTGTGTTTATCATGTTCAACTTTATTTCCGAGCAATGCCCAAAAAACCCAGTCGTGGTTCTTTCAGAAATACCAACGTGAATGATCATGAAATTCCTAGAATTCAAAACACGAACTTCAAGAGAGAACAGGAACATGTCCAGCAGCCACACTGGTGATTTGCAAAGTGTAGCATTCTAGTATCAAATGATATTCGAGATTGTCAGCATTAGGTTAAGTATCATGCAGTTGGTCTTAATAGGGAGAGCATGTCAATTCAAAGTTCTAAGTTCAAAGTTCAGTGTGACATGTGTATTGTATCATCGTGTTATGGGTTTTCCGACGCTTACAAGCTTTGCCTATTAAGACCAACTGAATGATAATAAAAGTCCGTTATTATCTCCATTATCACATGTGCAGTTGTAAAAACTGACACTATCTTATTAAAGACAACTTTATTCTTAAACACAAGACGTCATCCTAGCTTATCTGTACCTCAGGCATGTCTTTGTGCAATATGTTTATGTAGCAAAAACAATTAATCACAAACCAGGCATGTCTATGTGCAATATGTTTAGGTAGCACAAACAATTAATCACAAACCCAGCCAACTGCCTGCTATAGTGTAGATGTGAGGAGTGACGTGGTGCAATAATTGGAAATCATCTACACAAAAATATTACAATGAGGACATAAACGTTAAGTTGAATGAGTAGAATTATCATCCAGAAAGCTTAACTTGAATGACAACGGTACAAGCATCTGTATCGAAACGTTGCACTCACGAATAAAAGAAGTTGTTATCCATAAAGTTTGCTCCATACAGAAAGCCTAACTCAAAATCAATAAACATATCTGTGTCAAAATGTAATGTGCAATGATATATATTCAGAATAATTAATTGATTGGAAAGTGAAATACCTGGAGAAGAATATGGTAGAAACAGGGTGATCATTACTAGTGAATATATCACCTCCATGCCATGGTTGTCCATTGTGGAACTTGGAAACAGTTTTGAAACACTTGCATATAGGTTATCACGACCTTGGCCTTTACAATTCAGGGTCAGGAGAGATAAGACTGAAATAGTACCTTGGAAAATGAGGATTGGTTTTGGCATACTGCATTCTGACGTCCTTATGTGGAAGCATTTATAAATACAACAATTTTTATTATTTCAAAATAATGTACTCGAATCTGTACTTTCCTGAGAAACTGTATGATCAAATATAACACAATATATGTTACATCTGACCACTTCCGAAAAGGCATTTAGTATTCATGTCAGCGAGTTTGTAAGTTTTTGTTCAATCATATATTGGCACTAAGTATTGGTAATAAATCTATAATAGCAACTTGATAGTCGTAATTCATAAAGAATATGCGCTCTTATACATTATGCTGTCAGTGAAATGTATGGGAACTAAGCACAGCGGCGACACAATTTCGCGTACCCTTTCATAGCTATCGTCTTTGGCACAAATGAAATGTATGACATTAAAATTTAAGTGATAATATGTGTTTAGAAATGTTCACATGCTTCAGTACGATTATATGTCATAAAATATTGATGTATATTACGTGTGACACATGTGTGAATGGCAGTTAGATAGACTGGGACAGTAATACTACTGGATGAATGTTGTATCATATTTCTATAGTCACACCATTCTTAAGCAGCGTCGCGCCGTCTCTGGTTAAGCATGGTCTGGTTTATTGTATTTGATGTGAGTATGGTATAGTCAATCATAAACTTCTTTGAGAGGCATTTTTAGAAGTTGTATAGGTGAAGGAAAACCATGTTCTATGGATAGTCAACTTGTTTATTACAGTACTGAGTAAAGAAATTGACTATCCATAGAAGTTGGTTCCTTCAGTCAATCATAAAGTCAAGAGGTGGTAAATTGAATTTTAGATTAAGTTTTCTGCTTGAATTCAGCATCTCATGAGCATCTACTTTTTCAATTCGGTATGTTTTAGGTGCTGTGTTTTTTTCAGGCGGGGAACACCTGAAATGGGTTGCATTGTACCCATGTGAAAAATCGAACCCAGGTATTTGGTGTGGTGAGCGAACGCTTTTATCACTGAACTCTCCCAATGTCGTTATATCTAAGTGTGACTGTATTACTTAACCTATTGACAACCATCGTTTTGGATGACAATAATGCCAGCCAAGGTAAGCCTTTGATGTTTCAATTATTATTCAGACTATATTTTACACTGGTACTGATCATGCCCCTTATGTTAATGAACAGGGCGCACCTGCCAGTGGTTTTGGACCAGCACGTCGAGGTCAACAATGTATCCTGTCACACTGCAACTCTTCAGACTGATACCTTCAGTCACTGCAACAGGTAACATGTTAGGACCTCTGTTCTTAAGAATCCGTGCTCACCTCAACCTCTACGCTGCCATCACAGCAACGACTTTGACCACAGTGTGCTGGCTGTTGGCTGCTGTACCTGTGGTTCTCGTTTGTGGATGCCCCCCATGGTGTCATGTGGGTTTCAATCTTAATGGTAATTACAGTGTGTGGTAAGACTTATATCATATAACCTGTGAAGATAGGGATTAAACTGGTCATTTGCAACCCATGCTTGTCCAAAGAGACGACTTAGCGATCAGGTGGTCAGTCTCGCTGACTTGCTTCACACATGTATCGTATCTTAATCGAGTAGATCGATGTCCATGCTGTTGATCACTGGATTGTGTGATAAGAATCAATTATTTACAAACCGCCGTCTTATAAATTTTGCCCGCCATATTTGGCACTGCCAACTGAGCCACTAACTTGCATGAACGGCGTGGACAGGGCCAACTACTCTGCCATGGAAACCATGAACAACTTTTCTGTTTATAATTTATTTCATTTCTATCTTATTTTCTATTTTTTAGTAATTAAAATGTTCAATCAACGGTTCAAAAGATTCTTTCACTTTATGAATTATTTTTGAACCTACAACATATATTTTCAGAACATATGACAATCTGGCAAGGTGCAGTAATAAAACTGATTTTACTGCCGCTTTATTTCATCTTGTATCACACACGAAATAAAATGCCCTGTTGATGATCCCCGACCGCGTCATACCAAAAGACGTTAAAATATGGTACTTGTTGGTCCCTGCCTGGCGCTCGGCATTAATGGGTACAACAAGGACTGGTCGGCTCGGAGTCAGTATAATGTCTCTGAGTGGGGTATTCATGATTCACTGCGGCATGGTCTCTCAGTGGGCTAGCACTATAAAACCAACTTCAATCTGGGCTAGTACAAGCAGCCGCACATACACATACACACGCACGCACATCGTCATATGAGCGAAATATTCTCAAGCACGACGTTAAACCCAATTTCACCTCACCTCATCTGTTGATGACATAACAGCGCGATACGTGATGGGAGATAACTCTTACAAGACTAAACACCATTTGACCATCTGGGGGCCCATTCCGATGTGCGCCGAACTCAGTCATCGGCTCAAAACACTCAAGAATGCTCTGATCCAATCTGATGGCACTCCACCCTCGTATGACTCATGAGCTTAAATCGATCCACTTTATACTACAAATTTCCTATTTGGTTGCAGGGTCTGGTATGTCTGTGTCACTCATACATGTAATCCGTGGGTGTAGGATGTAGCTACCATGGAGTCTCACTATCCCTACAAAAAGAAACAGGTATGAGGGGTCGTCTCAAAAGCAAAACCAGGACGGGTGTCGCAGACGGTGGTTGGGGTCGGGCTGGGGGATAGAGATATCAGCTGAGATAAGATAATCCTTTAGGGGAGTTAAACTGGGGAAGCAAACGGTATGTATTAACAAAATAATATCCAGTCCTGTCGATCTTCGGGTGGTTATGCCACCTATTTATTTTGAGACATTTAATACGATGGCTGATTTAAGCTTTTCTATGAGTATCATACTCTGTTACATATCTCAAAATGAACGTTATGAAAGACACGTAAGATGTTAAAGGGGAAGTGTACACGAATAAATCACATTTATTCTTCTGTGAATCAAAGTGAACTGTTTTAATTAGTTAATACCAATGTTTGAAAATATACACTCATTTTTCTTACAATGTAGTATAACCCTCAAAATAAGTGCTGAAATGTTATGCCAATATGAAGCCTTTGTTTGCCGAGCTAAACAGGCCAGAGTTACCGCCCTTTGATTATGACGTAATTGGTGCCACTTGATTTTAAACTGGTCTACTGTCTAGTCCCAAAACAAAAGATAATAATACTGAAATTAATCACGTGAAAAAAGTTCGAAAGAAGCATAAGAACAGAAAATGTAAGCAGCAGGGCAGATTGATCGTGTGTGTTTTCATTCATAACCTCACCTCAATGAAAATACCAAATATGTATAACAATGTTGACGTCCGTATGACATCACTATCGGGAAGCGACTTTTTCAAAATGGCGTGCTAACTGACACGAGTACGCCGGAGTTGTCGAAGAAATTTTCGTTGTTTCAAGCAACGTATATGCATAAATGTAACATGTAAGTAGTCCCGAAAATTCTGTCAGTCTGCTGGTTGTTATTTTCTTCTTGTTTTCATTGTGATCAAGGGAAATAGTCAGAAATTAAGAGAGGTACCGTCATCGTTGTGCGTGAGTTTGCGTCAGTCATGGCGTCACGCTTTCAGAAACCATGATATGTTGTGATGAATCTAGAAAATCAATCGAATACACCTATTTTATTTAACTATCGCTTGCTACGATACCTTTCCCATGCATGTTCTAAAACTAATGAGCAAGTGTATGCAACAAGTAGGCGAGCGGATACACAGTGTAAAATCTGGGATTGGCTTTGTTTACATTTCAAACAAGTGGTCCTTTCCCAGGGCGGCATCTGATATATTTCGTTCGATTTCAGTGAAACACTTCGAATTGGTGACAAAGTCCATTTGTCAGTTTATTTTGAACTGTATGAGAAATTCAGGGATTCGTGTCAGGAAGATGGTGTTGAACTATATACAATTGAATTTATGGGCGAAATATAGCCGACATACATGTGACGTGATTTTATAAACACTCTGTAAAATGGCTGAAAATTCACTTTGCCGATAAGCCCCGCCCACTTCGTTTTTGACGTTAGGGGGGACAACCACTGACAAATCACAATGGCGCCGCCGGCGAAACGTTACGTGATTGCGAACGTTGTTGATGAATTCTGCTTGTGATACTTTGGTATCCGTCGTTTGTGAATGTTATTTAAAGAGGCAAGTTATACGTATGTGATTTTTAATATATTTTAGCTGGCAGATTGCAACTGGCGTGTGAAAATGAGTTACATGCCCGATGAAAAATCGTCTCAACTAGCTGCTGAGACTGTAGGAAGTATATAATTTCTTTCGAATCAATTAATCTATCTGGCAATTCACCTCCGTCACAGATATTAGCAGGGGAAGAGTAACTGAATTTTGTTGTTTGGGTTTATAATTTTATAAAACTCGTGAACACAACTACATGTTCATGTTGCAGATCGTTTCGGTATCTATAAATAGATTATCAACACTGCGTGTGGCGCCTTTACTTATCCGTTGGCGTTGTTCAAATTTAGTTCAATAATCTGAAAACATGGGTTTCTATTTTTAATGAATTAAGAGAATGGTAAATAAAAAGCAGAAAATATGTCCCGTCTACTACTTCATGCACCTTATTTGTCTGTATATAATTAATGTAAACAAATCAATCACGGCATAACCTATTTTATCTTATTTGGGAATCTGGAAAAGCTAATTGAGCTTGTAAACAGTATGTTTCCATTGACGTATCTGGACATACCCAGAAGCAAATTCTCAGTAAAGTTTCTCTCTTCAAAATCTGTACACCATGATAAAATGACATTGAATATAAGGAAATAATTTTTTAATCATTATTTCCATTTTATTTTTCTATATGTACTTTGTTGTGGAATCCTAATTTACATACAAACTTCCACAATACTGGACTTCATGAACTGCCAGCGTTTATGTACAGGTATGTCACAGCACCAGAACAT